GTGCGTCATTTAGAGCGCTGCTGCAGCTCGGCAACATATTCCTTGCTCCAACGCTGCCAGAAGTATTTTCTAGCCTGCTCCAGACGCTGGTTGCGGTCGAGGCGATTAGTGTTGCAGTCCACGAAGTCTGGTGATAGTAGCGACGTAAGTGGCCTGCCGATTAAAAGTGAACAGTGGTGAGAGGTTGTAGGTCTTTAGGGGACGGACTGAGAGGACAAAGGTGTCGGCTTTTGAAGATAGCCTCAATTTGTGCAAACAACGACGACAGTTCCTGAAAGTAAGATGCGAATTGCCTAGGATACGTTAAACATGGTATGGCGTATAAATCCAACCTAGAACTACGCGGGAATCATCCCAATATACATGACGATTGATAGGTCTGCGTAGAGCTTTAGTTACAGCAGAGTTCAATTATGCACCCAATACGCAGGCGCATAGCTCGAGCCTTGGTATTGTAGTGACCTTTAAAGGGGCTACACGTGCTTTAGCGCACAATAAGTGACTACTACTTGAGTCGAACCATTTGAATCAATAGACCTTAAGTAAATGCAAGTTCCGTAAGCTTGCTGGGAAGCATCACAAAAACAATACATTTCAATTTGGACATTATTATTAGTAAGAGTTAGTCTACGTATTTTAAGTTGTAAATGTTAATATTGTTAGAAAAGGATTTTCAAAATTTGTAGATATCATTAGGCACTGGTACATCCCAACCTAATTTTTGAAGCCATAACCCTTGTAAAATAATTTTGAGTTTAATAACATATAGTGACAATAGTCCTAGAGGATCAAAAATTTTACTAATACAGGAGAGAATAGATCTTTTAGTAGCTATAGTATGTATAGGTAATTGAAATGGAAAATGTAGTTCATCTGAAGCGGGACACCAACCAATACCTAGAGTTAGAATTGCTAGAATTGCTGATTATTAGATTGTCTTCTTCAAAGCTATTAGTATCTGGCAAAAGATTAGGTAAGTTTGACCTATATTTCCCTAAATGAAAATAACCTTTAGCTAATTCGTAGGGCACTGAGCGTTGAATATAGCGTAATTCTTGTGGTGAATCACACCTCGTTAGGATATCGTCACAGTAGGTGTCATTCTGAATAATAGATTTTATTTTAGGGTCAGCACATTCTTCGCCAAGTTGCCAAATGCACCTAGTGGTAAGAAAAGTAGCAGAAGAAAACCCATAGGTCACTGTTTTAAGACGCAGTGCGCGGAGAGGCTCGTTTTCATTGTTTCGCTACAAAATAAGCTGCAGATCACGATCTGCCTCTCTCATCGTCACTTGGCAAAACATTTTCTCTACGTCACCTGAGATTATAAATTTATGAAGACGAAATCTTAACAAGATGTTAAATAATGAATTCTGTACAGTAGGTCCTATCATTTGGAGATCATTAACTGATAGTCCGGAAGTTGTGCGAGCCGACGCATCAAACACGACCCGCAGCTTAGTTGATTCGCTCTTGTCCTTAATCACAGGATGATGAGGTAGGAAGTAGGCGTTGGTAAGCGGCCTCTGGATAGGTGCTTCAGATAGATGCCCGAGAGCGGCATATTCGTTAATAAATTCGGTGTAGGCTAATTTTAGGTCAGGTTGTTTTTAAAGCGTTATTATAGGCTTAAAAACCTTTTGGCTAGTTGATATGAGTCGCCTAAGCATTCTCTATCATCACGAAGAGGGATACCTACGCAAAAACGACCATTATCTAGACGCGTAGTAGTGGCGAGAAAGTGCTTTTCACAAAGCTTTTCCTCTTCACTGTAGGATTTAATTTGATGAAAATTTTCCAGTGCCCAAAATTAGGCTACCAGCGGTAAAATTAGGTGGAGCTAATAGAATTTTTAAACAATTTACATCGTTTCGATTGGATGAGCATAGAGCCTCCCGCGAGCCATCCAAATTTAGAGCTACGCAGGATAGAGCCTTCATCACTCAGTGAGTGCTGTTGAGATCATATTACTTCCCAAAATAGGTCCCTACCGATGAGCATATCAATAGGGGATGATTCATAGAAGCTAGGATCAGCTAGAGTAAAATTAGATAAATCTACCCCTTTTATATCAAAGGTTGATTTAGGAATTTCCTCAGAATTTTTAGGTAGTATTAGACAAAACATTGTGACACTAAATAGTCTAATAGTCTCGCTAGTCAACTCAGAGATGTAATCAAGCGGATGAGCAGGGGCAAATCTCCCGGACAAGACGGGCTCAGTATCGAGCATCTAAAACATGCGGGTGTACACCTGCTCAGGGTCCTATCTCTATTGTTTAATATGTGCATTGGACATTCATATCTACCACCGGATCCAATGAAAACCATTGTGGTGCCCATTGTCAAAAACGGGGTAGGTGATATCTCGGATAAGGGCAACTACCGCCCTATTTATCTTGCTACCACGGTGGCAAAAGTATCTGAAGTTACATGACGCGCAGTTCGGGTTTAGGCCCGGACTATCCACTGAAAGCGCAATACTAAGCCTAAAGCACACTGTCAAATATTATACAAGCCGGAGGACGCCGGTGTACGCCTGCTTTCTAGATCTCTCCAAAGCATTTGATCTGGTTTCGTATGATGTGCTTTGGAGGAAGATGGAGGACATGGGTGTTCCGGTGGAGGTGCTAAATCTCTTTCGGTATTGGTACACAAAGCAAGTATATTACGTTAAATGGGCTGACCAATTGTCCAAGTCGTACAGGTTGGAGTGCGGAATAAGACAAGGTGGGCTGTCGTCTCCAAAGTTGTTCAACCTGTACGTAAACGATCTCATAGTGGAGCTCAGCAGCATGCGAGTCGGATGCAAAGTGAGTGGTGTTAATGTAAACAATATTAGTTACGCGGATGACATGGTGCTGCTGGGCCCCACTACGAGTGCTATCAGAGAAATGTTGAACGTATGTGAGAGCTATGCTAAGTCGCATGGTCTGGCCTACAATGCCAGAAAAACCGAATTTATGGTCTATAAGGCCGCCGGTAAGTGTCTCGAATTTATACCTCCAATTTGCCTCGGTGGAGTGGAGCTGAACAGAGTTTTCCAATTTAAGTACCTGGTCCACATACTTACCGACGACCTTAGAGACGATTTAGACATAGAACGGGAGCGTAGTGCTTTGGCGGTCCGTGGTAACATGCTGGTCCGTAGATTTGCTCGTTGTACGGATGAAGTCAAGATTACGCTCTTTAAAGCATTTTGTCAAAACATGTACACGAGCGGTCTGTGGATCAGCTACACCAAAGGATCGTTAAACACCCTTCGCGTCCAGTATAATAATATCTTCAGGATGATTTTGAAACTTCCTCGTTTCTGTAGTGCATCTGAAATGTTTGCGCAGGCGAGAACGGATGGTTTTCAGACACTCATGCGCAAGAAAGTGGCGTCACTAATAAGCCGAGTACGGGGAACTGACAACAGCATCCTGAGGACGGTAGCAGATGATCCACATGCACCTATATTAAGGAGCTGCGGACAATGTCCGGATTCGTAAATTACTTAAATTAAATTATTATTATAATATAGTACCACTAACCCCCTTACTATTAGAATTAATTACTAACCCTTATGGACCTGTTGTCTGAAAATAAAAAGATTTGATTTGACTAAATAGGCATTCACTAAATTGTAGACGTATCATACAACGTTTTGTATTTAGGTTAAGTTGAGTATTACCAGTAGCGTATATATCAACATTAGATGGATGTGTAGATAGGTTAAGTCACTGTTTAAGCGACTCAGTTGTAAAGGAGTACTTGCTCTATCGAGTAAAGCGCGAACCTTTGTAGTTTGATTAGTTATTGGGTTTGACACAAGCACACTAGCGGTACACAGCAGAACTTGAGATAAACCAGACAAGGCGGACATAACGATAGATGACTGTTCAGTTGACAAACTAAATTCGGGTTTTATACGTATCAATGTATTTTATGTTATATTATGTCGTTTTTTACAAGATCGACAGTGCCCTGGAAGAGTGCATTTTTCAACATCGTGCCCGGGTTTCAAGCAATCGACGCACAAACCTAATGATGTTACAGTAAGCTGCCTTTCTTCAGGTGACTTAGCTTTAAACGTAGCACACTCAATAAGCGATGATTTTCTCTACAGACTAGGCAGTGATATTTACGTTTCGAATCGCTATTTTATGTTGACAAAAATGATTTAGTTTGAGCCTTGTTGAACCGCTACTAGAGGCAAATTGTTTAATACTTTTATTAAAAACAGAAAGTTAATCTAGTTTACTACGGCTAACAGTCTCTAAAACATCCGCTCGATTTTTTTAAATGTAAAAAACTCGTTAAGATTAGGAATCTCTGACAACGTATTCCTATGCTCTTCCCATTTGTAAATAGTGCTCTTGTCTAATTTTGCTGTGAACCTGTCCTTGAAAATTTGTAGAATTTATAGCGGCGCTGCCGTCGGTGAGTAGTGGCTGCGAAGTTAGCTGTTTATAAGTACAAGTAGATGAAGTTAGTTGAATAATGTACAATTTTTCTTCGTGGCATTGGTGAGAAAATTTTCATCTCCGTAATTTTTTTAATTTTTGACAAAAAGAAACATTAAAAAATGGACAAATATTTTATTGTGCGTGGATGTGCAAGTGGTTTAGCATCTGATCGAAAAAATAGACTGAAAATGACTTTTATTGAGCGAACTTAGCGATCACAGCGCCTCACTTATGGTGTCCATATTTCTGGGACACTATTTTCTACTGCGATCGTTCTCCTGTTTTCTAACTTCCATGGTCCAGTGATTTTAAGCATCGTGAAAATCTCTTAGGAAGTTTTACAATTTAACGCATATGCATATTATTAGCATAATCATACTAGGCTGCATAGTGCTTACCTTTGCTTGTTTAATTTACTAATCATAAAAATAACAACTAAAACTTTTTGGATAATGTCGTTGCGTTTGTTTGTATATTTGAATTTTGAATTTTAATGCTTTTAATTCACAAATAAAAATTTCTTACGCACGTATTTATAACCCAATTCATAATGAGTGAAGATAAACTATGTAGTGATGAAGTGCCACAAAAATTTGCTGAATGGCTGTTGGTTATGGGATGCCCAGCTGAGAAGGTTCCTACAGTAGATAAAGTGGCTTTGTAAGTTTCCTTAATAATATGTGATCTTATTGTAATTTTTGACGCCTGCTGAATTCATTTACCAAAGATGAGAAGATTTTATTGTATACTGCATTTTCAGAATGTGCAGAGGTCCATACTACATGGTGTGGCGCAGTTTAATGGAACATGTTTACCCTAAGAATGTTATAAGGGATAAGAGATTACAAGTATTTTGTAACGATGTGAGCATATGTCAGAAAAAAAGCGCTTTCAGTCAGGTTTGTAGAATTTTTTAATCGTTTGAAAGTATTCACTAGGCTTTCCTCCACTGCTAGCTGATGCCGATATGCTGGGAGTGTCTGCATGGTGGAATACGTAATGGAGATATCCGTAGAAGACTAGAGTAATTAACACAGTCTAACGAAATAGTAAGTTAAGCCCGGGGAGGATCATGCTCTCACAGAATATCAGCATAAAACAACAGCTTAATGCTGCTGTGTTTCAAGTGTAAGGAACTGGAGACCCCTTATTACTGGAAACGAGGCATTTCATCTTAGTCCTCAGAAGAGATAAATCATCTACATTTTGATTCCTTATCAAGGTTGGACAACTTAACATAACTTAAAAAGGTGAACTTTGTGCTTGTTTGTCATATGAGCACAGTCCTGATTATAAATGATTAAATGGGCATATGGCTCAAAGATATAATATATTAGAAAAGCCAGTTTCAAATTAAACTAACATCCCCAAAGTTAGTTTAATTTAATAAGGACTATTCTTCAAAATTCCTCATCTAAGGCATTTGTTTTGAGTGTGGGCAGAAATATTTCAATTAATGAAGATATGAAACCTCTTTAAAAATGTTCAGTAGTCCTCTAATGTTCCAGACGATCTTGGGGTACAATTAATATCCCAAGATGTTTATGCCTATATGTGGTGACCCCCGGACATACCAGTAGCTTGTGGGCCATTGTTTCTTCTTCCCTAATACCTGCTCTGGTTACTGTCTATAACACCTTTTGTAAACAAATGCATGTTTAAAGAACCACATCAGTGTTTGTTTGGTCACATTAGCACCTTGGTTCCTTAGCTTGTCTGCAATCCCATGGATTTTGCTGTTAGCCAACATGCTCAAAAGAATTGGTATTGTCCATTCTGGCTCTATGGCACCTGATGCCGATTTAGCTCTGGTTAGCTCGTCATCTGCATCATTGCTTCAAGATTGACTGCAACCTTTTTTACTTGTGATCCATTGTAAATTTACACTATTTACACAAAAAGTTGCTGAACAGCAAAATTGTCTTTTTGGTATAAAACTCTAGTTATTTACTGTTATAAAATATTAAAGCTTAATTTTGGACAGCAAGCTCAACTGGAAAAAACAAATAGGCAACAAAATCAACTAGGCTAGTACACCCTTCAGGCAGTGTAGAATCATGATTGGCAAGTGATAGAGTTTGTCACCTAAAATGACACTGTTGTTGAACACAGAATGCTGCTTTCACCTATGATCACTTGCACCGGTGTGGTGGACCAAAAAAATTAAGCCATTATTACAATTTTATGGAGTATTTATTTACTAAATTACTAAAGTGATTTGCCAAGTCTCTTCTCTTCCCTATTTATGACTATGCGGACATCAGCTTCCTAGATCTCATCGAAGCTCGGCTTGATAAACTTGAGCCAATTCAGAATTTTTGTATAAGGTTAACACTTGGATTATGCAAATATGACCATGTCTCTATTTTTCGAACTAAGCTCAAATAGTTGCCAATACAACTTCATAGAAATGCTCACATACTTCATATTCTCTATATTGTTGTCTTTAATAATTCTTACTCTTTTTACCTCAAAAATATGCCACTATACACTAGTAAATTTAAAGTCTTACTATACAGGCCGTTCGCTTATGGAATAAACTGCTTCACTTCCACACTAGCCATTAAATATAATATAATGTATACTTTCTAATTCAATGAAAATGAAAATTCCTTTTTTTCTTCTCAAGGCATACTAAAATAATACATTAATTGAAGCCTCCTAGTAAGTATAAAAGAATACCTGTGTCAGGAGTTCAGAAGGCACCACTCTTCCTAATAATATTAAATAATGAGATAAGTCAATATATATATATATATATATATATATTTTTTTATTTTTTTAACGAAATACCACTGACTGACTCATCATGAGAGCTCTAAAACTGCACACCCAATTGACTTGAAATGTTTAGTATAGTTACTCATTTCACAATCTAGATGCTCACAAAGAACGGATTTTACTATAGTCCAATCAAAAAAAAATTTCAATATTTTAAATCTAGGTTCCACAATAAAATATTATTGTGTGCCCAGTGAAGCAAGCTGGTATCAGCTAGTAGTCAGGAGTCCATCGCGGACAAACAACATGACACGTAATATATATATATATATATATATGGATGCGTATTCCTTTTTACCTCTTTTTTTATCACACCAATTTGCCCTATCTTCATGCTATCCTGTCAACTCGTTGATTATTTGGAAGAAATTGCTGTATGCAATAAGACCATCCATTCATTGCGCACTTTTTATATATATAATTTCTGTAATTTTTGTATGGTGTGCAATAAATAAAATCAAATAAATATGGTAAACAAAATTTTGTTTAGGTTTCAATTGTGTCGAACAAGCATACAAGTAATGAAGACATATTTTATATTGTTGTCTATGAAGGATTAAGTTGTGAATGCATTATCATCCTTCACTATCACTAATGCCTTGTTAATATTATTATTATTAGAATGTTTTGCATTTGCATTGAATGGTTTGTGGGTGATCATATTTTGAGAATTTTTCTTTAGGCTATAGTCTCTGTACCATTTTAACACTATTTGCTATGCTACTTGGTTAGTCGCAGACTTTATAACAGACTCCTGATTTGTCTGGAATAAATATTACTAGATCATGTGCATAAATCTACTATTGAACTTTTTCTCTCTTTCACCATTTTCTTGTTAGGCATGTTAACATGATAAGTTTGCTCGATTTGGCTTGTTAATACATTAAGTGTTAGCTTATTAAATTTTCTTGAACTGTAGTCCATTATGAAACTATACTTTAATTGTAAAGTACCTATATAGTCATCAGGTAATTTTGTTAACACTTTTAAAGATAGACTTTCTAATTATTATATTCAGAAATCATTATTAAAGGGTGTTAAATAGTTTTGTTTAAAAAATAATGAAAATCTCAAGAAAAAAAATATTTTTAAAAGCCTCAATGTTACAAGCTTTGTTATTATTTTGGTTTCAATATGTAACAATATCTTTGATATATTTCGTATTTTAGTAAGCAAATATACGTTAAAATAAGCTAGAAAAATAAATTAATATTTTCCCTTTTTATGGACTTAAAAAATTTGCATTAAAATTACAAATTAGCCCTTTAAAATGTGTCAATTTATTTTTCAGTAGAATCTGAATGTGATTGTGCCTGAACAATTATGCCTTTGGCAGCAGCAAAAAGATTTGAAAGAAAAGGTTTATGATGCTGTGAACAGATTGAAGCAATCTCAAGAGACACTAAATCAGTTGATGGATAAAATTACTACAAGGGGTATGCAATTAATTATTAAAAACTTAACTCCCATAGATTAACATTTTGTTTAAACTTGTACTAATATGAGAGTGACTCTGAAAGTTCTTGGAAATCAAAAACTGAACAAACTAGCAAGTTATTATTTTTATTATATGTCTTATTATTACGATTTCTGTGGGTCAGACTTAATCAGTCATCAAATAAGTCCATTGCTGGACAACAGCTTTTCCTGCTGTAGAGATGGTTTGCTGTCACTGCTGGCAGGTGGACCTACGATCGCAGTAGAGTGACGTTCCGCACATTTGATATTGCTACTGATCGCCAGTGCGGATATTTTACACTTGGCATTAACAAGATTTCCGGCACAGATTACATTTTCGTGTTCCATATATTGTAATATATGTGAAATAATAAATAAAATATGAGATCTTTCTAATCAAAATGTGTGTCTGTAATTATTTTCTTAGGTTTTGTTATCTTAATTAACCAAAGCACTTAAGAATTTATACATAATTATTACAGTGTCGCAACGCAATGTATCACATCAGCATATCCAAGACCTTCAACGTAGAGTGTGGCTTCTTCAGCAAGTTGCTGAGGAATTGCAGTGTAGGAAAGATAACTTAGATGAGACTCTGTCAATTGCAAACTCATTGTGCTGTCTCAAAAATGAAAATGAGATACAGGTGCGTAACATAACATAATGACATAAGTTAAAATGTAAAAAAAGACGATAATGTTCAAATAAAAATTTTGAGTATCAAGCAATCAAGGCTATAGCCAAAATGTTTATTTCTTCTTAGCTACAATCTGATTTTTCTTTGTTATTACACAAGCTTTGCATTATGTCATAAAAGTTATTTTTTGCACATATCTATAAAAACATTTTCAATAAAAAAATTCAACAGTTGAACCCGTTAGTAAAATATAATATTTCTATAGTATTGTTTCTCCGTACTGTTCACAGAATATCGTCGACAAAAACGTAGCCGTTCTGCGTCGGCAAGGCAACCAGACGTCCAGTGCTGCTTCTCTATCTCTGCTTTCTAACGCGAATCCCGTCGCAAGCTCGTCGGCTATGTCAATTCAAAGTGAATGTACTGATACCGGTAGATATTTTTAATAATACTAATAATTTATTCAGATAAACATTGTAAATGCTTTAGATCATGAAAATAAATATAAATTAGTTTATTACATTTTTACCGAGTCGACACATGCAAAAATTATTTCCCTATCTTACATTATTTAGTTTTCTTCTACTCGGTCAGTCCATTTAACCCGGCAATCCATGTTGGCTAAGCCTCATCCAACGCGAGCGCAGTCAAATTGATACAAGGCGAGTGCTATAGTCTACACATTGGTCAAGTACGAAAGAGACCAATTCCAAGGCCAAAGGTCACGAATTTTTGTGGAGCTATCCACATGTCGGCTGTAATTTGTGGTCTTTTTTTTAATAGTATTGGGAGACAAACGAGCACACAGTCCACCTGATGGTAAGTGGTTGCTGTGGTCCATAGACATCTACATCTATCCTGGATTACGAACAAAATGCAGATGCGTTGTCACCCGTGAGGACTAAGATGGAATGCCTCATTTCCAGTAAAAAGGGTCTCCGGTTCTCTACACTCACCATATGAAACACAGCAGCATTAAGCTACCATTTCACGCTGGTATTCTGTGAGAGTGTGGTCCTTCAATTCCAAAAAAATCAGAAAAAATGTTTTTATTTTTCACGGAACGACGATCCTTCTGCTTATTGGTAATTTTTTGGCTGATATTCAAGACAGTCTCAAATCAACTCAAAATTGACAATTCCAAAATTTGTGGTATGTGTGTGTGGGCTCAAATTTTGCATAGTGGAATTTGAGTTTAAGAAGAGATTGTTTCTGAATACTGGTTAGTGGCAAGCATCTCGGACAACGGTTGTGAAGAGAAAGGTTGTCGTGAATGATGTTTTACATTGCTGCGAATGCAAAACGCAGTTCTCTAAAGTTACCTATACTCTAAAGGTATACATACTCGAATAAGTTTTTCGACTGCTCGTATTTTTTTGAGTGACCGCGGTTTTCACCTGACCAGTCTCCAGTTTATCTTCAAACCATCCGTTATATTGTTGTATGTTCGGTTCCCAGAGGAGCAGGTGTCGTCGCTGGTGCGGTGCGGCGCGGCGGCATGGACGCAGCTGCGCGAGCGGCGCGCGGGACTTGCGGCCGCGCTCGCTGCGGCCAACGCGACCCCGCCCGGCCCCCGTGTGCGAGACGCAAGGTTCCTGTCCACAGCACTTGCACTGTAGAGACATGCTGCAGCTATATATTGTGACAGGTGCGGGAGCGGCGCGCTGGTCTCGCGGCCGCGCTAGCTGCGGCCAACGCGGCTCCGCCCGGCCCCCGTGTGCGCGACGCAAGGTTCCTGTCCACTTCACTTGCACTGTAGAGCCATGCTGCAGCTATATATTGTGGGCAGTTGCGCGAGCGGCGCGCGGACTCGCGGCCGCGCTCGCTGCGGCCAACGCGGCCCCGCCCGGCCCCCGTGTGCGCGACGCAAGGTTCCTGTCCACTTCACTTGCACTGTAGAGCCATGCTGCAGCTATATATTGTGGGCAGCTGCGTGAGCGGCGCGCGGGACTCGCGGCCGCGCTCGCTGCGGACAACGCGGCTCCGCTCGGCCCCCGTGTGCGCGACGCAAGGTTCCTGTCCACTTCACTTGCACTGTAGAGCCATGCTGCAGTATATATTGTGCGCAGCTGCGCGAGCGGCGCGCGGGACTCACTGCCGCGCTCGCTGCGGCCAACGCGGCTCCGCCCGGCCCCCGTGTGCGCGACGCAAGGTTCCTGTCCACTTCACTTGCACTGTAGAGCCATGCTGCGGCTATATATTGTGGGCAGCTGCGCGAGCGGCGCGCGTGACTTGCGGCCCCGCTCGCTGTGGCCAACGCGGCTCCGCCCGGCCCCCGTGTGCGCGACGTAAGGTTCCTGTCTACTTCACTTGCACTGTAGAGCAATGCTGCAGCTATATATAGTGGGCAGCTGCGCGAGCGGCGCGCGGGACTCGCGGCCCCGCTCGCTGTGGACAACGTGGCTCCGCCCGGCCCCCGTGTGCGCGACGTAAGGTTCCTGTCCACTTCACTTGCACTGTAGAGCCATGCTGCAGCTATATATAGCGGGCAGCTGCGCGAGCGGCGCGCGGGACTCACTGCTGCGCTCGCTGCGGGCAACGCGGCCCCGCCCGGCCCCCGTGTGCGCGACGCAAGGTTCCTGTCCACATCACTTGCACTGTAGAGCCATGCTGCAGCTATATATAGTGGGCAGCTGCGCGAGCGGCGCGCGGGACTTGCGGCCTGTGCTCTCTGCGGCCAACGCGGCTCCGCCCGGCCCCCGTGTGCGCGACGCAAGGTTCCTGTCCACTTCACTTGCACTGTAGAGCCATGCTGCAGCTATATATTGTGGGCAGCTACGCGAGCGGCGCGCGGGACTCGCGGCCGTGCTCTCTGCGGGCAACGCGGCTCCGCCCAGCCCCCGTGTGCGCGACGCAAGGTTCCTGTCCACTTCACTTGCACTGTAGAGCCATGCTGCAGCTATATATTGTGGGCAGTTGCGCGAGCGGCGCGCGGACTCGCGGCCGCACTCGCTGCGGCCAACGCGGCTCCGCCCGGCCCCCGTGTGCGCGACGCAAGGTTCCTGTCCACTTCACTTGCACTGTAGAGCCATGCTGCAGCTATATATAGTGGGCAGCTGCGCGAGCGGCGCGCGGGACTCGCGGCCCCGCTCTCTGTGGGCAACGCGGCTCCGCCCAGCCCCCGTGTGCGCGACGTAAGGTTCCTGTCCACTTCACTTGCACTGTAGAGCAATGCTGCAGCTATATATTGTGGACAGGTGCGCGGGACTCGCGGTCGCGCTCGCTGCGGCCAACGCGGCTCCGCCCGGCCTCAGCGGTGACACTCCATGTACGTGAGAGCTTAAGCGCCGGTGACCTTGAGTCGAAGCGTGTAACGCTAGGGTTGATATTGAACCGAAATGGAATATTATAGACTATTACCAAAGAAGATACATAGTAGGTATATGTTATATATTATGTAAACGTATGTATTTGTGTAGTGAAAGGATACGTTCAATTTTAAATCAACTTTTATTAAATATCTTTACAAATGAGGAATATTAAAACTTCCGACAAAACCAAATATGCACGACAGTTAATGGTAATCATAAATAATTAACCAACACTTAGTATTTCGGTAAGCAATAATCAGTATTACCTACTATCCTTTAAAAATTAATTTACTCTTATATATTTTTGAATTTTTCGATTACTCTTACAATTTTCATTATTATTTCTAACAATTGCAAAAATTCGTAGCATGTATAATTTTTTATTATATATATATATATATATATATATATATATGTATATATATATATATATATATATATATATATATATATATATATATATATATATATATATATATATATTTGTATGGTGCAATCGCACCATTGTTTTTCTCAAGATCGTGTTTAAATCATTCATCTTCAGATCAAGTAAAAGGTGTGTGGTATACCAAGACCAAACATCTTTATGGTCCTTCGAGGAAACTGATCAGTCTTTTGTGGATCTCAAGTGCAGTGCGATCGGTTCGGTTGGCCTCCCACCAGCGGGTCTCACCAGCCGAATTGAGACTGCGCTCTACGTGTACTGAGTGCAAATATACTGAGAACCAGTAATAACACCAAGCACAAAACCGAGAATATCAAGAATACCACAAGCATAGCAAATTTGACGCATTCATCAAGCAAACCAAGCAAGCATTCACCAAGCGAACCAAGCAAGCATTCACCAAGCAACTACCAAGCAAGCATTCACCAAGCAAACCAAGCAAGCATTCACCAAGCACACCAAGCCAACACTCACCAAGCACACCAAGCCAACACTCTCCAAGCATACCAAGCATAAGCATTCATCAAGCACATCAAGCAGAAGGATTTCACAAGCAAAGCACAAGCATATCAAGCAAGCGTATCAAGGGTATTTTCAAAAACAAGCAAAACAAGTAAGTGATTTTTTACCATGGTTTTAACGTATCAACTCCTTCACCAAATAATGTCAAGCATGGCAAATCTCCTACCAAATCAACAACAAATTATCGATGGCATTAATCAAATATTTGTAAATTTTAAGAAAGATAGTCAAGAGCGAAAGACGCCCGACTATATTAATCGAAGATTGAATAATTTAGAAGGGTATTGGCAGGAATTCCTGAATAATCATGTTGAACTGTGCGCTTTTCCAGACAAGTCCCATGCTTATATTACTAACAATACGTATGAAAAAACCAAGGCAAATTATGAGAATATAACAGCTACAATAAAAGCGTACTTACCGAAGTCGGAACATCAACCAAAACCTTCAACGCCCTTGATAAAACCCGCAACTTCAATGGGTGCACCCTCAACTTCGGGAGCTCAACATTCATTTAGAACGGAGTCCCAGGGAACCAACAGCAAGACAGATGAATTATTCATGAAGCAATCAAGCAACTTCAGAGCATTTAAAAGGACAGTTTCTAACATAAATCTTGACGATGTGATGGAGAAATGAGAGGAGCTGGAAGATCTCCTCCGCTCTTTGCAGTTGCGATGGTCAGCTATCGACAGTGAAGTTCAAGGAGCCAACCAAGAATATGAGAGCTTTTTTCATATTATGAACAACTATATAATTCCACCAAACGATCCATCAACAGCAAGCTGTGGTCAGTGTCCCATCGGGAAAAATCAACCCCCCAGATGGACATACCTGTTTTTGTAGGAAATTATCATCAGTGGACGTCATTCAAGGACCTGTTCACTGAAACTATCCATAATAACCCATCATTATCAAACGCACAGAGAATGCAATTTCTTAAAGTTAAGGTGCAAGGCGAAGCAGCAAGGCTTTTGCAGCATCTTCCGATCAGCACTGAAAACTATAATATCTGCTGGGAAATTCTTAACCACAGATACAACAACAAGAAACTCATTTTTACTTCGCACATCAACAGCTTATTGAATATTCCTGTCATACAACAACATCAAGCTATCAACCAGATCAAGCGACTTCATGACACCACTCTGGTGACACTCAACGCCGTGAAAAACTTAGGTGTTGATATCAGTACGTGGGATCCATTGCTGGTGCACTTACTGTCACAAAAATTGGACAATGAAACATTCAATGATTACAATGAATCCCTAGAACAACCACGTGAGTTACCGACGCTCAAAGATTTTTTGGCATTCCTGGAAGGAAAATTCACTACGTTGGAAACATCCCGTAGAAAACAAGAACCAACCACGCAAAAACCATCATCAAGTCAGGTCCCGGTGAAGCATAATAAATCAAGATACCAAGTATTTTCCAACTACAATGTTACAGAACCAACAAATGCAAAAACAAGTAATCAGTTTACAATCACGTGCCCGCTCTGTAACAATGGCCATGGAATATATTTTTGCCAAAAACTTATAGCAATGACGCCGCAGCAGAGACGCAGTACCATATCAAGATTACGGCTGTGCTCAAACTGCCTAAACCATCACCAAGGAAAGTGTATTTCTAAGAATCGCTGCCGCGAATGCCAAGGTCAGCACAACACAATATTGCACGAAGCATTCGTAACATCTAAAAACATGAAACAACCTAGCTCATCAAGAACGGTTAACCAGGGAAACTCATCAAGCAGCGCAGATGCTGTCCAGCAGAACCAGAACAGTGTGCACGTGTCACAGCAGCGCGACGTGCCAGAGATACTGCTCGCTACAGCTATTGTTCAAGTTCAAGCTAACAATGGCTCTTACTACAAGCTCCGAGCACTCCTGGACCAAGGATCCCAGACCTCAATTATTACGGAGAAAGCAGCTCAACTTCTATCACTACCTAGAAGTCAGTGTAAAGGGGTCATAACGCGGATCGGCATAAAGGAAAACAATTGTAAAGGCGTGATTAAGTTAACAATCAAGTCCAATAATAGCGACTTCACACTTAATACCGAAGCTCTCATAATGAAAACTCTGATCAATAATTTACCAAACTACACCTTGGACAAGCCGTCATGGTCATTCCTAGAAAATATACAGGTTAGCAGATCCAGAATTCTACAAAAGTCGGCGGGTAGATATACTTCTGGGAGCAGAAGTATACTCAAACATCATCTTAGACGGAATTTGCAGAGAAAACAATAACTCGCCAATCGCCCAACAAACGCGATTTGGTGGATATTAAGTGGAAGCGCTAATCAGGTTACTTTACAGTGCAATGTTTTGCTGAATAATATACAAAACATCCAACAGTTTTGGGAGATCGAGGACATTACTCAAGAGTCTACTCTCACGTCAGAAGATCAAGCATGCATCGATTTGTATAAATCAACAACCACAAGACGCGAGGATGGAAGATACCAACTGAAACTTCCCCTTAAGTCAAACATTGAACAAGACTTGGGCACATCGAAACAAAAAGCAATTGCGCAATTCAAACAATTGGAACGACGATTCACAAAACAAAATAATACCGCAGAACATTATAAATTATTTATTCAAGAATACTTATCATTGGGTCATATGAAACCGGCTACCGGTAACAAGAAACCGGACTTTTATATGCCGCACCATTGTGTCGAGCGCCCGGTGTCAGCAACTACAAAAATCAGGGTTGTATTCAATGCCTCGGCAAAAACTTCGACAGGGTTGAGCCTTAATGATTTTATGCACAGGAGCCCAAATCTACAACAAGATCTCCAAAAATTAATTTTGGAGTGGCGTCAATACCAGTTTGCATACACAGCTGATATAGAAAAAATGTTTCGCCAAATTTTGGCTGAAAGAAGAACACCAACAATACCAAAAAATAATATGGCGAGATGACCCAGAAGAACCATTGCAGGAATACCAACTCACTACAGTCACATATGGCACCAAGGCCGCGCCATATTTGGCAATGATGACACTGAAGCAGTTGGCAGATGATGAAGAAAAATACTACACCAAGACTCAAGCAGCTTCAGTTTTACGGAATAGCCTGTATATGGATGATGTAATCCACGGCTGTCATTGCGCTGACCTTGGAAAAAGGTTGAAGGACGACCTCATCAAGCTATTAAAAGCAGGTGGCTTTAATCTCAGGAAGTGGTCATCCAATATTCCAGAATTATGTGAAAATGTCAGTCAAGAAGGGAGTTTTGAGTTTAGAGCTGCTGAATCTACAACGACCTTAGGGTTGAGATGGAACCCTCAAGAAGATTCCTTCACTTTCCAACCCAAAATTCAAGCTCGTCAGACAAGCGACACCAAGAGAAGCTTATTATCTGACATATCAACCCTTTGGGACCCTCTGGGCTGGATTTCACCATTGACTACCAAGTTGAAGCTACTTTTCCAATCTACGTGGCTATCTAACATCGACTGGAATGATACACTTCCCGATAACATAAATTTGGAGTGGCAGAAAATCAGGGACGATATTCATAACATCGAAAAAATTCAAGTAAAAAGATGGCTCAATACAAACGAAACCGATGTTATTGAGTTGCATGGATTTTGCGACTCGTCAACAAAAGCGTACGCTTGCGTAATATACTGCAAAATAACTCGTGGAGACCAAAGTACAGTGGTTTTGGTCGCGGCGAAAACAAGGTTAGTGCCGGTCAGCAAAACTGTAAGTTTACCTAGACTTGAATTATGCGGCGCAGTTTTGTTAGCAAAATTAATGTCCAAGGTAAAACAGAGTTTAGAAAATTACGAAATCAAGCAATACGGCTGGGTTGACTCCACGGCAGTGCTGGGGTGGCTGCAGGGTGATCCGAGCAGGTGGAAAACCTTCGTAACGAACAGAGTCAAACAAGTTACCGACGTCATTCCAGCACAAGACTGGCGATACGTAAAGTCCCAGGACAACCCAGCGGACTGCGCAAGCAGAGGCCTAACTGCTACACAACTAGTGAGTCATTCTCTGTGGTGGCAGGGACCAAGCTGGCTGCCTACTTATCAAGATAAACAAGAAGAAACAAGTTATGATACCAATGAAGAACAAAAGAAGGCAAAGCAGATAAATATTTCGACATACCAAGATCAAGAAATGAATATTTTGGGTCAAATTAGCAATAAATACAGTAAGTTCAATAAACTAATTCGCGTCGTAGCCTGGGTATACCATTTCATAAACACTACAAGAACAAAAATTAAGATGCCATATCATACTTCATATCATACTTAACATTAGAAGAAGTCAGAGCAGCAAAGCAAAGAATAATCAAGCATGTTCAGCAAGAAGAGTTTTCGCAAGAGATAGAAGATCTCAAGGCAAAACAGAGCGTGAATACCAAGAGCAAGATAGTAAACTTACACCCTTATTTAGATGAAAAAGGCGTTCTAAGAGTTGGTGGTAGACTGAGAAACGCGCAGATAAGCATGGAAATGAAGCACCCAATCATCATTCCACACGCTAACCATTTTACGGAGTTGATCATAGATGAAGCCCACAGTCTTACATTTCACGGGGGACCAAGATTAACAGCATCATTTATTCGTCAGCAGTATTGGGTAGTAGGGGGCAACAGGGCTACTAAGAAGCGCTTACGACAGTGTGTGAGATGCCGACGGTTTGGAACAAGCAAGCAACATCAACTCATGGGTGACCTACCTAGTGCCAGAAGTAACCCATCTCGCCCGTTTTCTCACACAGGATTGGATTATACCGGCTTAATCACGATCAAAGGCAGTAAAGGACGAGGCACCAAGTGCACCAAGGGATATGTAGCGGTGTTCGTGTGCATGGCAACCAAGGCCGTGCACTTAGAACTAGTATCGGACCTAACGACGTCATCATTCTTAGCGGCTTTGAAAAGGATGGCTGCCAGACGGGGAACGCCAAGTCACACCAACCAACCAAAGCACCAACTTCGTCGGAGCAAGCAGAGTCCTAACACAAGAATACCAAGAAATTATATCGATCATCAACCAAGATAATCCAGAGTTAATGCAAGAGATCACAGAAATGCACATACAGTGGCATTTTAACGCTCCTTCCTGGCCCTCAGCAGGCGGGTTATGGGAAGCGGCCGTTAAAAGTCTAAAATATCACCTGAAACGCGTCATTGGTGAACAGAGACTGACTTACGAAGAGTTCACCACCATACTGTACCAACTAGAAGGCTGCTTAAATACAAGACCATTGTGCGCCATGAATGAAGACCCAGACAACCTGGACTATTTGACGCCAGCACACTTCCTAGCAAGTGGACCTGTGTTGACGATATTTGATACAGAGCAAGATCTACGAACAGGATGGTACCTTTGTCAAAAAATGTATAACGACATATGGAAACGATGGCGTTCAGAGTACTTGACCCAACTAAATGTACGCAGTAAGTGGCAAAGGGAACAAAAGAATATCAAGATCAACGACGTCGTGCTCGTCCACGAAGACAACTTACCTCCAGGACGGTGGGCTATGGGGCGCGTCGTCGAACTTCATCCCGGTTCTGATGAGCAAGTGAGAGTGGTCACACTGAAAACCAAGAATGGCTACCTCAAAAGGCCGGTCGTGAAATTATCGCTACTACCTGTAAATCAAGAGTCAGATGGCAGCGATAATAACACAAACAAACCATCATCAATCAAGAACGATCAACAAACAAGAGCGCCTCAATCGGTTAAGAAACCTCAAGTTCATTTCTCGTCGCTTGCGTTGGCTATGCTATTTTTCATGAGCATACTTACCACATCATCATGTTCTTTTCTTAACACACCTCTGAAGTCGAACCAAGGAATATATTTTGACAAAGTCTCTGACATGCAAGTAATTAGAGACGAATGGACCATGGTCGTCTATTATGACATGAGCCCCTACTGGCAAGGGATGAGCTATATATATATATATATATATATATATATATATATATATATAGAATAGTAATATGTATAACCGTCGTATTAATAATATATAATCAGTAATATTCATATATTAAATGAAATATTAAAATATCACTTAACGAATATATATATTCATAACTAATACTGACAAATATCGGTATACTACTAGCCCTCGGCCAGGGCAGTCGGCGACTGCCCGTTCCACGCCCCGCGCGCCTCTCAAGGCCCCCGCGCACATCCAGACACCCACACATAGCCGCAAGCGATTTTACGTGCAAACATGTTTAAGTGTCGTTTCTTTTCGCGTAGTGTATATATTCTTTGGCCCGGCCTTCCTGTGCGCGACGCAAGGTTCCTGTCCACTGCACTTGCACTGTAGAGCCATGCTGCAGCTATATATTGTGGGCAGCGCAGCGCGAGCGGTGCGCGGGACTCGCGGCCGCACTCGCTGCGGCCAACGCGGCTCCGCCCGGCCCCCGTGTGCGCGACGCAAGGTTCCTGTCCACTTCACTTGCACTGTAGAGCCATGCTGCAGCTATATATTGTGGGCAGCAGCGCGAGCGGTGCGCGGGACTCGCGGCCGCCCTCGCTGCGGCCAACGCGGCTCCGCCCGGCCCCTGTGTGCGCGACGCAAGGTTCCTGTCCACTTCACTTGCACTGTAGAGCCATGCTGCAGCTATATATTGTGGGCAGCAGCGCGAGCGGCGCGCGGGACTCTCGGCCGCGCTCGCTGCGGCCAACGCGGCTCCGCCCGGCCCCCGTGTGCTCGACGCAAGGTTCCTTTCCACTTCACTTGCACTGTAGAGCCATGCTGCAGCTATATATTGTGGGCAGCTGCGCGAGCGGCGCGCGGGACTCGCGGCCCCGCTCGCTGCGGCCAACGCGGCTCCGCCCGGCCCTCCTGTGCGCGACGCAAGGTTCCTGTCCACTGCACTTGCACTGTAGAGCCATGCTGCAGCTATATATTGTGGGCAGCAGCGCGAGCGGTGCGCGGGACTCGCGGCCGCGCTCGCTGCGGCCGCCAACGCGGCTCCGCCCGGCCCCCGTGTGCGCGACGCAAGGTTCCTGTCCACTGCACTTGCACTGTAGAGCCATGCTGCAGCTATATATTGTGGGCAGCAGCGCGAGCGGTGCGCGGGTCTCGCGGCCGCGCTCGCTGCGGTCAACGCTGCTCCGCCCGGCCCCCGTGTGCTCGACGCAAGGTTCCTATCCACTTCACTTGCACTGTAGAGCCATGCTGCAGCTATATATTGTGGGCAGCTGCGCGAGCGGCGCGCGGGACTCTCGGCCGCGCGCGCTGCGGCCAACGCGGCTCCGCCCGGCCCCCGTGTGCGCGATGCAAGGTTCCTGTCCACTTCACTTGCACTGTAGAGCCATGCTGCAGCTATATATTGTGGGCAGCTGCGCGAGCGGCGCGCGGGACTCGCGGCCCCGCTCGCTGCGGCCAACGCGTCTCCGCCCGGCCCCTGTGTGCGCGACGCAAGATTCCTGTCCACTTCACTTGCACTGTAGAGTCATGCTGCAGCTATATATTGTGTGCAGCTACGCGAGCGGCGCGCGGGACTGGCGGCTGCGCCCACGAGCTATTGTAGAGCTATGCTGCTGCTATATGATGGGCAAAAGGTCGAAAACGTTCAGTTTTTGTGCCTGTAATGTCGCACTGCAGGGCAAAGGCCTCCCTACTCTCTCTCTCCTGAGCCACCACAGACCAGTCCTTTATGAAGGAGTCCAGTTCATCCCGCCATTGCCGCCTGGGTCTACCTTGCTGAAGTTTGCCTTTTATAGGGACCCACTGGGTTGTCGCTTTGGCCCATTGATCATTTGGCATTCGGCAGATTTGTCCTGCCTAGTTCAGAATACACTGTTCCATTGCTTGTTGACAAACCTCAAGTTTGAACAGTATAATTTGACAATCTAAACTATGTTTAAATTATTAAGTGAAGTGAAGTAATTCTATAAATATAGCTTGATTAGGATGATGACAGCTGTCATCAAAAATGATTGCATAACTTTGTAGTAGCGTCCAACGTAACGAGTGATTTGATTAATAGTGGAAAACGAGAAATCACTAATTTCTGTCGAGTGAACAATATTTTTGATGACAGTTCTTCACTTAAAAATCTGCATAACACATAAATTTGGCTTTAAAATTAAACCAGTCAGTATTAATTCATTATTACAAAAAATAAGCCTAATAATTTACTGTCACCTCACAACGTTACGCCAGATTGCAAAAAATGTTAGAGATGGGACAAATCTTTTGTTTGTTTGAGCGTCAGTCAGTACGAGTGCCAACGACTCGTATACGCTTTGTGTTCCTCAGTTTTCGTTTATCTTGTTGTTTTTAGTATTTGTTGTTACTGTTTTTTGTTTTGTTATTACAATGCTAAAAAAACATAAAAGCTGATGTAAATAGCGAATCTCGCGAGTTTGTGATGCGTTTGCGTGAATACCAAAATGGCGGACCGCTGTTACCAGTGTCACAAGTGTGTGACAGAGTTCCTGAGGCTCTTGTAATTGGAAGAGCTACTGTGACTAGAATCAGCAAAGAAAATTTTGGAGATCAACGGAGGATAATAAGTTATTTACTCCAAATGAAAAGAGAAAGAATTGTTGGCCTGTAAATGATATAGAGGATTTCAACGCCGCAGTAATTCATAATTACGTCAACGTATACGACACACGTAACAAGCTGACAACATTAACAAAATTAGCGGTTTCTCTGAAAGATGCAAATTTGTTCAGTTCAGTTCAGCCTACAATCTTTATCAACAATATTTAAAAAAAAACCTGAAATCTATTATAAAAAGAATAACAAAAGAAAAATTATTATGGAACGTAATGACATTGCTCTTGAACGCATTGATTTTATACGAAAAATTATAGATACTGATAATTGGGATAAAGTGGTGTTCCTGGATGAAAAATGGCTGAATGCAAACTACACTGTTTCTAAAACTTGGACTGATGATAAACCCGAAACGTCTACCAAGTACCTGAAGGCAAAGGTCAAAGTTTAATAATTTGCCATGCAGGTACCTCGTCTGGATTTGTACCAAATTGTTTACTGGCACTGAAGTCTGCCAATACGACGGAGTACCACGAGAGATGACTTTTGAAAAATTCGAAAAATGGTTTAAAAAACTTCTAACTAATTTAGATGAACCCCATATGATACTAATGGGCAATGCATCCTATCATTCAGCTCAAAAAAATAGGCCTCTGACGGCGAATAACCGGAAGAATGAATGTCTGCTTTGATTATTTGTGTGATCAGGAATTAATAATTAATCTAGAAGATTCTTCCAGTGACTCCGTTTCTAATGATGATGGTTGTGACTTAGGGTGTACAACCTTGTGTCAATAAATTTACTATTGCTTTTTTTAATAGCCCGAAATGTGTATCAATGTTTAAATACATTGTTAAAATAATGTATGGGTGTATATTATTTATTAATATTTATGAATACTTTATCGATATATCGATTTAATGTTCCCAGTACACTGACCTCTATATATACAAGTACGCTGGACTGGCTATACACCGTGACATGATGAAGCGATTTGATTTCCGCCATTTTGGCGCTGACATCAGAAGTGCACGTCCACGGAACTAATACTAGGGATAAGACAGTGTACCAAATTATATCGATAAAAATTCTATACCCTACCTATACCTAAATAAATAGAATGGACTCTATGGATAGATGGACTCTACCCGTAATGTCCTTTCTATTTATTTATCATATTAATATAGTGCCATTATCATTCATCATTAAAACCCTTCACAAATCCACTGCTGAACATAGGCCTCCCCCAAGGAATGCCACAAAGCACGGTCCAAAGGCTGTCCTGCATCCATCAACTTCCTGCATGTCTAACCAGGTTTTGACTCCATCTAGTGGGGGGAACGTCCTACACTTCACTTGCCAGTACGAGGCTGCCACTCGATAACCTTTTTCCCCATCGGTATTCGGTTCTTCGAGCTATATGGCCGGTCAATTGCCACTTCAGCTAACTAATCCATTAGGCGATGTCAGTCACTCTGGTTCTGCTGCAGATATCCTCATTCCTAAGTTTGAACCCCTGAGTATAGCCCTCTTCATAGCTTGTTGAGCGACTTTGAGCTTCCTCATAAGGCCAGCAGTGAAAGACCTCGTCTCAGATCCATATTTCATCACTGGCAACACGCATTGGTTGTACAATCTAGTTTTGAGGTATTCCTGACGAGAAGATGTGTTGTAATCTCCCGAACGCTGCCCAGCCGAGTTGAATCCGTCGATTGAGCTGAACAAGTTGAACTTCGACCGACAGGTCAATCGACGGACCTACCTAGTCGGACTCTTTGTCCCAGTAAAAATACTCATCAACAACTTCAGCTAAGTGCTCCCAAAAACCACAGGCATAGGTGTGACATGGACATTACACATGACTTTTGTTTTGTCCATGTTCATCTTAAGAACTATACGTTGGGAGACACTATTGAGGTCATTGAACATAGTGCGTAGGTCCTCCAGCGATTGTGCCATAAGGACTATATTGTCGGCAAATCGAAGGTGAGTGACGTACACGACATTGACGTTAATACCGTATCCACAATATTTATGATTTTAAGCCATAATTTTAGTCTAGGTTCAGTTGGAAGGAAACCCGTTAATTAATAAACATTTGATAATCATCTGTTGTTGGTGACTTTGTTTGTTAACAGATATGGGTAGGAAAGAACATCGATAAGTATTATAGACAAGGAACTCGACAACCCTATTGAATTTTATTGTTTATCAAAACTCAGTAATATACAGCTAAACATGTTGCTATATATGATAGAGACAAATTTCTAAGTACTTATATTATCAAATAGTTTTAATTTGTTTAATATTTACTGCAAATTCACTTACTTGTGAAATGTTATACCACTTCCCTTTTGGTAACCAGTTTTACAGATTAATCACCCTCTTATTATTAATGAAAATAATTCTTATTATGTAACTAATATTATACACAATCAAACAACATAAAATACTTTCGTTTTTTAGTTCAAAAGTTCAAAATACAGACTTATTAAATATGACAATATGAATAAGACAACATACTTTGGCATAATATGTCAATTTTATTTTTCAAGACATCCTTTAGCGGCGCTTCAAATTGGCACAGTCATTTTGTATGGTATAGCCAGTCCAGCGTACTTGTATATATAGAGGTTAGTGTCCCAGTATTAGTCACATTAGAATGACAGCTGTCATTCTAATCAAGCTATATTTCAAGAACTATAGTATAATTTATTGATTAATTACCATTAAAAGAGAATTATTGTTTTACTGTCATTGAATTGCATTATAAAACTGCAGGATGGATGTGGCGATTGATGGCGAATGTTGTAGTACGTTTATGGATATAAAAAGAAGCATATTTTGTTTCAGGACTACTCCACAGTTTCTGCTTGCGCACACAGCGAGCCTTCACTGCACGCTGGCGCTTGAGGCGATAAAGAATCGCGTCCATATCAAGCATACGCGATCACGCTTAGCCAGCTCTGTTACAGACTTGAATGTATGTAATATTTTATTTTAATTTTTAAAAACTTAATATTATTATCTATGGTTCCACAGAAAGTCTGTGCATTGTTACTAATAACGCGTGAACCCTTTTAAACTACCTGTTATTAACGTGTGTAGAGCCACGCTGCAGTTACATTATGGCTGCAGCAAGAATGAGTCTGCTCGACTGGGAATATACTATGCTCTCATGATATACCAGCGTACAATAGCAGATTTACACTGCTGTTTCATATGGTAAGTGTATAGAACTGGAGAACCCTTTTTTACCAAAACATTTAATGACGAGAGTTGAATAGAAAGATGGAGGATAGAATATATCTCATAGCCGAATTTTTTTAATGAATGTACTTTTCCATTTTAGGTATTATTCCTTTTTAAAGTATTAAATAAATAAATTATTTATTTTATTTATTAGGTACATAATTAAAAATATATTTCATAAATTAAAAATATATTTCATAATTTGTCAATTAATCTTCTTTTATTTAAAGGAAAACTAATGTGTTCGCCAAGGTTTAAAAATGTGAGTTTCTTCACAGGAATACCTATCCGGTGAGGCATGCGAACTTTTAGTGCTCCATTGTGAAAAAGCGCGGTCCGAAGCTAGGGTGAATACATTACGTGGTTTGCTCCAAGAACTGACCTCACGTGGCGGCATTTTCAAAACAAATGGAGAAGACATAACGGACAAACAGACCACGATTCGACATATAGCAACAACTGATAAGGCAATTGTAAGTTAAACTTTTATAGTTTTGCTGTTCTCCAAGATTTAAAAACGTTTGTTTTACTTTGTTGTTGTTAGCAAACTGGGGCGGTTTCGCACGGACGATTTCTGGATCTCTACAGCAGTGTCATCTACCGGGTGCAATTGTGAATCTAAACCATTGTCAAATCAACTTAATAACACGCATAAAATTTCATCAAAATCGATCCAGCCGTTTTTGGGGGAAGTTCAGTCACATACACAAGGACATAAGAATTTTATATACAATATGTAACGTAATTAACGCACACCCTCAGACACCCCAATTAGTATATTATGTTATAATCGTAATACATACACTGAATTTTTAGTTAAACATTTTTATGCACTGATTATTTATCAAATTAGTTATACTAATTCCGGAAGAATGTTGTGGTCACAGTACAAATCCACGAACGCAAAGACTTTAATGGCGGCTTCTCACTGCGTGTGTTATGACGCGCCGCGCCGCCCGTGTTGATTTGTACGCGCAAGCACGCGACACGCGCGAGCCCCGCGCCTACCGTTCTAACTGGCGCAGCGTGGCGCGTGCTTGCCCAAACTCTGAGCCACTGAGTCAGTCTGTTTAGCGCAGCGCACCTGATGTCGTGTGAGTCGAATTGCCACCTCCAGCCATGGAGCAATGCCACTGAAGAAGAAGGCATCGCTGTCGTTTCAGCCGCTTTTGTCTTATTTTGTGGATATCATTTAATTAATAAAATTAACAAAAAAAGAAGAAAAGGCGCTGGTGGATGACATCGTTAAAATTAAAAATTCAGCAATCGTCTCATCAGACCACTCCATATCTATACAGACATGAGAGTACCTCAACGTCGGACGAGTTAAGACGAAATGAACGAGTTCAATCTTGTAAGCACGTTATGGCGGCTTCTCACTGCGTGTGTTATAAACAAAGCGCGAAATAACACACGCAGTGAGAAGCCGCCATAACGTGCTTGAAATAAAGTTCATTTTTCTTTATTTTTACTGAATGACAGAATTAGTAATAATATAAATAAAACTGCACTCTTAAAAGTCTTATTGTCTTAAGTTACGGTCCATTTCAGTTTGTTTTGACTGTACAGATTTAGTGTGACTGTAATTAACGTAGTTTTAATTATTTTTGGGATAAAAAATTACCTATATTAAAAATGACAGGAATCGATTCAGTAAACGAATCAGAACAAACTACTTTCTCAAAGTGCGTTAATTATGTTAGTTACGTAATTAACACACACCCTCAGACACCCCAGTTAGTATATTATGTTATAATCATAATACATACACTGAATTTTTAGTTAAACATTTTTATGCACTGATTATTTATCAAATTAGTTATACTAATTCCAGAAGAATGTTGTGGTCACAGTACAAATACACGAACACAAAGACTTTAACGTGTTTGAAATAAAGTTCATTTTTCTTTATTTTTATTGAATGACAGAATTAATAAGAATACAAATAAAATTGCACTCTTAGAAGTGTAAGTAGGTCTGAACAAACTACTTTCTCAAAGTGCGTTAATTATGTTACATGTTGTATAAGGTGTAATATATATCCAATATCTCTATAAATATTAGTGATTGAAGAGTAATGAAAATAGAAATTTAAATGTGTTTTTCTAATGATTTTTCTTTATTGAATAAGAATGACCCACCAATTAGCACACAGTCCACCTGAAAAGGAAAGTTCATGCTGTGGGCCATAACCATCACACACATCTCCTCGGTTAAGAATCAAAATGCAGATGCGTTGATACCCCTGCTGACTAAGATGGAGTGTCTCGTTTTCTGTAAAACGGGTCTCTGGTTCTTTACACTTACTATACGAAATATAGCAGTATTAAGCTGATATTTTACGCTGGTATTCTGTGAGAGCGTGGTCCTTCCCCGGTCGAGCCGAACCATTCGTATTACAACCAAAATATAGCATGGCTCTGTCACATATCAGTTATAATTAGGCTATGTGCTATATTTTGAACAACTATTAACATATCTGATTTTATCTCGTTTACTTATGTTGTAAACTTGAGTGCTACAAAGCATTTAAAATGTTGAGCATATCAAATAACGTGTTAAATGTAAGAAAACCGTGAAATTAATTTTATTCAGTGTGTAGTTCTCGCGTAAATACAAGAAATCGTTAAATCGATTTTATACTAAACTAAATCATATTACCTAAAATTAAAGCTTAGTTTTGTAAAATCATATTCACAGATTAACTGCTGGTATTAAAAATCGTGTATTGTATTTTAAGTCAAGATATTAACTCAATAAACAATGTGCGATAAAGTAATTTTACGCTTTGTTTTTCAAGTCATAAACAAATATGTATTCTGTTAATGTAACTGCTAAGCGTGGCGACGATAGCAAATATAGGCCTTATAAATATAAGACCTATGTTCTGTAGTAGACTTAAAAGGCTGAAACGAAAACTGTATAAAAAATTAGTTACATCTGAATATACAAATCACTGTCTTTGTTGTCAACTTTGTTTCTAATTTAAATTACGTACATAACGAAATTCAAATTATATACAAAATTTTAGCTAAACATACTCATGTTCAAGTATAAAAACATATTGCAATTACAGACATTTATAAATATAAGTTTATTACAATTTAATATACAAACCAATAAAAAATATTAAAACTTTTGTTTTAATTTTAAATACTGGTGTTGTCATTGCAACAGTTACAGCCTATCAAAAGTCTGAAAAATATCAGCCAAAAAAATTGTTTGTTATTAGGACGGTTACGAGCTTAGGGTTCGTAACAATAAAAACTGCCGATTGAATTACCAAAATGAACACTTTAATTACCGAATACCAATTAAAACTTAAAAGACACTAATAATTAACCACACTGATCATTTTAGTTCAGTTTATTTCGCTCTGAAGCTTCGCTTGTATCGCCAATGCAATACTACTCCCCGGTCGCGGCCCTCAACGACTTTAAATAGGCCTTTTCCATCGAAACATCCAGAATATTCCAGTAAATACCGGTCCCGACCGACCAGGTGCAGAAAGTTCGAGTGCGGAGCTTTCTAGAAAGCTTAGTTCTTCCATTCGATACTAGATAGCACTAGTGGGAGAGTTCTAGAAAGATCTTGACGCTCCCATTTCCGCTGCTTGATACCAGATGGCGGTGATAATCGGTCGCCACATACCAGGCGCTAATTGTAGCGCGCAACAATATTAATCTCCCCTGTACGTTACAGAAGTTTACTAATGGAATAAAACTGATTTCACGGATTTTATCGCGTTCAATTTTAACTTTCTCAATTCCCGGCGTTTCGGGTACTTTACAGCACACAAGGTCATGGGGGGGGGGGCTGAAGTGTTTGACGTCCTGATGTCATCGTTAACGAAGGCTAAACTTTTAATTGTACTTAGACTTGACTAAGACAGTATTTCTAGGTCTAACACCTCAATTAAGGACGTCAAACACCTCAGCCTCCATGACCACGTCTGGCAGGCAGTGTCCCGAAATGTTTAAAAAAAGTTAAAATGACGTTGTAGTATTCACGTATATATAAGAAATCATTAAGTTTACATATTATATATAATTTTTTTTTTTTTTTTGCACATAAGAAACATTCAGACACAAAAGAATAATTTGCAGAAATAATTGTTCTATGCAAAATTCAAACCTTCGACGTAAAGCGCCGCTGTCAAACGTTTAACTATTGTGCTACCGCGATCTCTTTGAAGGAAAGTTAGTGTCACCGTAACTATGTATATTTGCGGGGTACTATTATCTGTTATATGTACAGCGCAGTTGATACCTTCTAAAAATATTCAGAAGATGGCATGGCGCTGTGGTAAAATTTGGTCAAGATAGTATTGTTAAGATGATTTACATCGCAAAATTTTCACAGGAAACCAAGAGAGACGAGTTAAAAAGGCTGCTCGCCTCCTTGTCTATGACCGAGAGGAAAATCAACAATGTTAAGGAGTGTCTTGTTACGGTGTTTAATAATTTCCAGAAGGATTCATCGATTACTGATACTTATCGAGGCAAAGGTATTTATAATTATTTTATTACATTATTCAAACAAAAGAATTAACATTCCCCTGATAGTAATTCCACTGGTATTCATTTGGGTTTTTGGATAGGGTAGGTACCTGATGGTAAGTTTTTGAAATAATCTTTTTCCAGTAAAAGGTGTTTTTAGATTTTATCTACTTTGGCTCTCAGGGTGCCATAAAGATCTATAGGAAATATGGGGTCAACAGTGGGGTCAATGAAACAATGACAGAATTATAAATTGGAAAGCAAAAAAAAACTTTGTTCTAATTTTTAGAGCTTTCTGTGACAAATCTATGACAATCTATGACAAATCTATGGCTCACGTATAAAATAAAATAAATTGACATACTTAATTGAATACTTTTAAAATCCATCTATTCAATTTTTTTACATTCTTAATGTGCACAGGTATTCAAGTGGACTTTCCTAAAGAGTCAATATCTACACTACGTCAATTTTACGAGGAAAGACGTGAAAGACGCAGAAACAAGCCCGACCTAAGTATGGAATTCGATGTATCGGATTACTCATTCAGTGACGCTGTTGGTATGTATTTTTCAGTAATGGTAACTCCAGTAGCCAAAAAGCCCGGTATGTTCTATTAACCGAAAATAAATTGATTAAGAGATAATAATATTATCTGTAACACTTAAAAACGCTGCTCAATTTTAAAATATCGTTAAGTCTCATGGTGTCACTGTCTTTTACTTAAAGTGATAGAGACACCACGAGACTTAACAACATCTTAAAATCGAGGAGCGTTCGAGTATTTGGGCATCTTTTTATATTTATTTTTATTATTTAAATATCTACTTAAATAAAAGGTCTAGTAAGGTATTTTATATAAAAATTCAATACATTATTTTTCAACGTCTTTTTACATTTAATTATAATATGTATGTGCCATTTTGTTCGAAATCTTGTTGCCATCTTGTAAGTAGTGACATAATCCTGTTGCTTTAGAAATCTTGGGATTTTTCATAGAAAAAAATAATGCTACAAGTAGTTTTGACAGCCCTCTCCATGATGTTAACCTAACATTACCCAAAGAATTCTGAAAATCTGAGGGTTCAAGGTCAGAACTATATGTTGGATGTATTAACACTTCCCAACCAAGCTCTCTCAATTTTTACTGAGTGGCCAAAAATGTGTGGTCTGGCGTTATCATGGTGAAAGACCACCCTTTTCTGTTGATCAATTCCGGCCGTTTTTTTTTCTATCAATTTCTTGCTTGAGTCTCATTAGTTGTTGGCAGTAGAGATTCTAATCGATGATTTTGTCCGGCGGTAAAAGCTCAAAATAAACGAGGCCCTTCCAATACCACCTCATACACAGCATCACCTTATTGCGTGTTAATCCGGGTTTCGCTGTAGTCTGTGGAGCTTGACTACCCTTTAACAACGATCTTCAATGCACGTTCTTGCCGTAGGTGATCTACTTTTCATCGTCAGTGATCATTCTTTTCAAAAATGGTTCGGTTTCATTACGTTTCAATAGAAAATCGCAAATGAGTACACGATTCATTAGGTTTCTTTCAATGAGCTCATGTGGTAACCAAATATCGAGCTTTTTTGTATAGCCAGACTTTTTCTAATAGGTCAAAACTGTTTTGTAGTTAATCTTCAATTCTTCGGCTATGTCGTAACTACTAATATGCCGATCTTGCTCCACTTTCAAAAATAGCATCGACTGCATCTTTCACATCAAAATTCCCGGACTGAAAACGCTTGAACCAACTTTGTGCTACTCTTACTGACATTGCATTAGGTCCATAAACGTCACAATTTTTTTCGCAGCTTGAGTCGCATTTTTCCCTTATTTGTAATAAAACTTCAGGATGTATCAAATTTCTTCGTTAAATTCACTCGTTTTGGCAGATAGAAATTTTTTAAAAAAATGGCGGGAAAGTATATTTACTTTTTATTTTATGTCCTATATGTATTGACATGAAAATCAGCCAGATACAAACCGCACAACCATAGAATTTTTTCTTCAATTTTATACAAACAAAATACGAAGAAATATTTTCCCCGACCTATTATCTCGTTAGTATTAAAACAAATTATAAATTAACAGTTGAAAACATTTGTAGTGTTTCTTTTTTTTATAAGATTAATTGTGGTGTGGTGCCACAAGAACTTTCCTTTATAGTTTCAGAGGTCACGATGAAACCGAAATTTTTTTCAAGGATGAGAATATTCGAGCTATTTGGTTAATAAAATTCCAAACAATATTCCATTGCAGATATGGTTAGAATTCAAAATATGTTATAATTGATGAAAATCTTAATGTTATTGCATAATCTTGGGATAGATTTATTATAATTAGTACCTTTAAAGGAATGGGAAACACAAACTGGAAACTCCAAAAAGTTCTCATGGCTTTCGGTAGATGGTGGTAGCATCATCATGTATTTATAATGCCATGCTAGTATTGGAAAAATATAAAATAGCCTTGCCCCATGTTAAGGAGCAAGCCACCGGTTGGACCACTTCTTTTACCTAATTAAATCCTGTTGAATTTTAAGATTAATTTTGCTTTTTTTATTTCAGACAGCAATCCAAGATTTATTGATGAATTAAAAATATACTTAAAGAAATTTAACTTGGAAAAGAACAAAAAGCTAGTCTTAGATAGGTAAGTTAATTTTTAACGCTTGGTTTTTATTTAAGAAAAATATTTTTTTAATTTTTTTAATAAACCTAAAGTGAAAAATGACTTTACAGTTCACCAGATGGTAAGTGACTACTGTAGTCCATCTTCATCAACTTCAAACAAAGAAAGCAGATGCGTTGCCACTTCTGAAGCCGGAAGTTATAATCCGTTGATTATGCATGAAAAAGTGCCGATTAAAACCAAATCTACAAAATAATTATTGGAAATTAATAAAAACTTCAAAGATATGGAAACGTTTTCGTTATAAATCCTTGATTGCTGAGGGTTACTGGGTAACCTCTTTATGCAATTCAGCGTAACGTGATCTGACGCCCAAGTTTTTTGTATAGAACAAGGTTGATAAACTACACAGTCCACCAGATTGTAAGTGGATGCTGTGGCTCGTAATACTCTACATATTATATCTTCGATTCATAATCAAAATGCAAACGCATTGTCACCGACGAGGACCAAGATGTAAGATGCTTTGATTGCAGTTAAACGAATCTCCAGATTTTTACACTCACCGTACGAAACACAGAAGCATTAGGCTGCTAATTTATTCTGTGAAAGCGTGGTACTTTTCCAGCCAAGCCGATTCATTAGGGGCTACAGCCACAATTTAGCTGCGGCATGGCTCCACATATACACATATAGATTTATACAAGATTTCGAGCTAAACTAAATTGTTTACAAAAATTTATAACTACTGTGTGGAAGCATTGTTAGTTGTTTTATAATATTTAAAGTTCATATTCTAAAACAAAAAATATCTTGTAATCCTACCTAGTTTAATGAGTTTGTATTTTGCTTAACATTTAAAAAACGGTTTTTAACAAAGAAAATAATTTGTGTATGGCACAGGAAATGTAGTATAAGAAACTTAGAAGTAAATAAGCATCCTCTGCATCCATAGTGGCGTCTTAAGTAGCAACACTTATTTTATCTTATTCATGATTTTATCTTAGTCGCGATTTTAAACCTTTACGAATGTTTTTTTTTCAAAGTAAAGTAATTAAATAAATAGTATAGGGAAGACTATTAAGGAACGTGTAGCCACCTCCGATGACGACTTGGTGTAACATCGACAGTCAGTGGATACAGGTGACTCAGTACCATGTTCTGTGATATTCCTTGGAGGTCTATGTCCGAATCTACGTTCATTTCGTACGCCATTTTCGCGTGAATGTTTGTGTTGTTGTTTTTGGATTTTTCTAGTGTTTTAGTATAGTGTTTTATTATAAAATTGTCATGAAAGTTTTTATGTGAATATAATTTGTCTTTTCGCGTAAATTATTTCGATTAATATATATTGAAATAATTGTGATTTTCACGTTGCTGACATTCGCTTGGTATGTTTTGTTGTTGTTGTATAGGTTTTATACTGCCAAACTTCTTCATAGAAAAGTAGTGTCCATATATAAGTTTTAATAGTTTAAAGTGACGCGGGTGGGTGCGGTCGCGTGCGACCGCTCGGGATTTGCCGGGCGCATGCGACTGCATGAGAATTTTAAGGGGACTGAGGGGTTAAAAGATGTAAAATGTAGACTAGAAATGTGTGAGAAGAATAATAAAGAGTAGATGGGACGTCTAAATCGTCATATAGCTTTAAGTACTTAGTAGTGTTAACTCTGTTTCAATCATCATCATTACAGCCCTTTTCAATTACAAGTCTTCTGAACCTAGGCCTCACCCATGGAATGTCATAAAGCACGATCCCGAGCTACCTGCAACCCACATCCATCGATGCTGCCTTTCGACTACTTTCTCCCCCAACGGCTTACTAGCATATTAGAGACTCTCTTATATTGTTTTCTTTTTATAATAAACTTATATTTTTTTACATTCAGCGGTGAAAAAATCTGGATATTTGAGACAATACAATCACTGATAAGCCGCCTCCATTCACTCTGGTTGTCCGTTGATGTCTCTTGCTCGCTCATCTGTCCAGCTGTCGGCGTAAGGAGCTTATGCCATCTGGTGAACGACGTGAAAACTAAAGAATTACTTGAGGGTGTTGTTAGGGAACTAAATAACGCCGAGGTGAAAAATAATGTTGAAATTGGTAAGTTTACATTAATTAATAGATTTAAACCCATAGAATACTATAATACATACATAATAGAACGGGGGAGTGGGCGAAGCCCGCGTAGCCACTAACATGTCACTAACACGTCAATTCACACGTATAAATGTCAACACGAGATGTGTTTTGACGTACCAATTTTTCCAAATTTCGCATGAAAATTATTTAAAAAATACCAAATTGCACTCTGTTTACATATAAATATGTATTAAAATTTAAACGATTTTTATTGATGATTTTGAACATTAATCCAAAGTCTAAAACGTGTAAATTTACTCAGTCTGTCAACACAGCGAATCGGGTTTGTAGTAGTGATAATACGACGTAATTGCTTGTATGTATGCTCGGGCCGGCGACGCCGAATCTCGTACAAAATAAGGTTGACAGCCATTCTATTGTGTATTATAGTATTCTATGTTTAAACATAAATAGTTTTTGTTTAAAACAACTGAGTCAACTGTGTGGGATTGTAAGTAGCGGAACGAAAATCTGGCGGTGACCATTATTGCGCATAAGTCGAAAATAAGGTATTATGGGGTAGTAAGCGGGTCGCGAGGCGGGCGTGCGTATTGTTCGCACGCGCTGATTGGCTGTGTGCGTATCGTTCGCACGCGCTGATTGGCTCCTGCTACTTGCATACGGCTTCGGCTATTGGCGTACTGGTACGACATGCGCAGCTATCCCCTCCACGTTTCGTTCAGCGCTAGACTTGCGTGCCGCGACTTGTACGTCTTGTTGTGTCGGTGTAAGAATATCCGTCGTAACAGGCGACAGATGGAAACAAATCAGGAGACAGTCAGCAGCGTCTTTCTAATAACAACTAGAAATAAAAAACTGCGGTTGCCAACCCGCTGGCTTAGCATGGCAAAACATCTATCTATGAAGTAACCTAAGAGGCCTGTGTTCAGCAGTGGACTTTAATAGGCTGTAACGGTAACCGAGGGATTGCGTCTAAAGATATAGTCACATTTTCTAGATATACTGCGGAATCTCTATAACTCGAACCTCGTTAAGTCGAAATCCTCAGTAAGTCGAAAAAAATGCCATTCCCTTCCGCTGAACCCATAACCGAGAACCAATAAAATCCAAAATGAATGTTCGGGTTCGGGGCTTCTAATCTATTGTCTTTGTCTTATACACGTGCAATGAATGAATACATTCATAAAACTTTCTAAGTAACACAGCTGTGAACGTTATGTTTGTTCCTTGTCGACACAGGACACGATTACTTTTAGCGGAGCTTGTCCGTCAGTACATAATTATTTTTCTTCACAATCATCAATCCCTAGCAATCAACTCCGGGATATGGGTCTCCCCTAATTAAAAAAGGAATTGCCATAGTCGACACGCCTGGCAGGTAGACATTAGACATTCTTGAAGATACCTTCCACCGTCTTTCAGAAGTAAACTTAATAACCAATAAACTTTTATTGACACAAAATAAGGTTTACATTATTTAGCTTTAACACATATGAACAAGTTATATGGGTTTATAACTTACACAATTTTATGCACTAGCGTCTAAACTAGGCCTAACCTGTATATTAGACACTAGTCTCTTCCAATGACACCATTATTTGCAGTTATAAAAGTATACGGCATGATTTAGTTTATTTATTACATTACATATTCGCAAATACATTACCGCTTTTTTACGTTTGCCGGTACACTAACTTATCATGTGTATGAAATGTTAGACTACTATTTATAGGAACTTTGTTAATTTCTTAATTTATAATGCAATAAATGATAATTGTTATCACAAGGCAAAAACTATTTTATTTTTGGTAATAGGTTACAATAAAGTATTGCAAAAGTATATGTACTTCTTTTAGCAATTTTCTAAAAGTATTTAACAAAAGATATGCAATGTAATTGTAAATGTAATGAAGTGATGATATCTTTTGAGCGTTTTCTATATTCTAGTCTTACAACACCCATGGGATGAAATGTCGAGATTGATTCACTTATGCCACCGCAAAGGAAATAACAGCAATTACGGGAGAATAGTTCACTTGGTGATGGTAAAACTCCTCTTCTGAATAAGAGTCCATCTGAGCAAGTGCCACACTCTTTAATTATTTCTGTTGTTTAATGGTAGTGCGTGCACTGTTCTGTTCTGGTCTGATGGGTACGGAGGACAACACATCTCTAGGCTTCTTTTTGTTTGAAGTTGGTTGCAGACAGTGGCGATTAGCTTCGCCACTGTCTGCAACCAACTTCAAACAAGGCTCCAAACTAGGTCAAGCCCAAGATATGGTTTTGTTGTTTTTAGCAGTTTAATAAAAATACACCAATCTTGATCTGTCGCCAATCTTCAGTTTTATATTCAGTGCTGTCGAGGACATGTTTAACAAAGCACACAGAAGGCACTACTGCTAGATAGATTGTATGACATATTAGAATTGCATACCCTCGGTGGCCTTGAAAAAAGCCGTTTGGGTTTGCTTGAGCGAAAGATAAAGATATTTACATACAATACATTACATGAACAAAATAAAAGCATGAACAAAGTACAAACAAACTATGTACAATATTTAAAAAAATTATTCATATTCTAAATCGATTTCCTCGGATAACTGGAGCGACAAAGATGTTTCAATCGGATTTTTTTCAAAATTACTAAACGAAATTACCGGATTCATGTGATTTTTAAGAGTTCATAATATGTCTTTTAATGGCTCCAGATAAGTTAATTAAATCATTATATCCAGTAGTATTCCAAGCTGATTTGTCGTTGGAAAAAAATATCCAGCAACCACAGTACAACTTATTAGAAAGTTTATAGATTTTACCTTTTCCTGCCGATTAGCACTTTACACACTTCTATTCATCGAACACTATTATTCATTTATTATCATATATATATATATATATATATATATATATATATATATATATATATATGTATATATACACACACACAATATGTAACGTAATTAACGCACACCCTCAGACACACCAGTTAGTATATTATGTTATAATCATAATACATACACTGAAATTTTAGTTAAACATTTTTATGCACTGATTATTTATCAAATTAGTTATACTAATTCCCGAAGAATGTTGTGGTCACTGTACAAATCCACGAACGCAAAGATTTTAACGTGCTTGAAATAAAGTTCATTTTTCTTTATTTCTATCGAATGACAGAATTAGTAATAATACAAATAAAACTACACTCTTAAAAGTCTTATTGCCTTAAGTTACGGTCCATTTCAGTTTGTTTTGACTGTACAGATTTAGTGTGACTGTAATTTACGTATTTTTAATTATTTTTGGAATAAAAAATTATCTATATTAAAAATGATAGGAATAAATTCAGTAAACGAGTGAACTTGCAAGCGTATCGCCCCCGCGCTCTAATGACTAACTAACTTCATACTAAAGGCCTGGCTTTTTCGTTCTATGCTAGTTGCTATATATACAGTATCGTAGTTACATTTCATTATAGAACATTTTGCCACAGGTTAGAAACGGATAGTTTTTCTTCTCGAAAGCCTGGTAATAAGCCCACGCGTGCGAGAGAGACGACTAATCGCTCAATTCAACTCCTTTTATAAAACAGCAGTATCGCTAAGGCTACGAGAAGGAAATTTGTTATAGTTTGAAACAGTTTACAAGTCATTTTATTAGTTGATATTATTGATTGAGATATTTGATAGGGCAAGCCCGACTTTTTGGCTTCTATGGAGGCTTCGCCACTGGTTACAGGTGTCCATTGCCTGCAGTACCTACTTACCATCGGGTGGACTTTTAACTTGTTTGTCACTACTGTTTTATTAAATAAAGAATTCCTCATCAATTATTTGGTTAATGTAAACTTTATGTCTGCGACATGTCTCAATATGGTCAAATATACCACATTTATGCCACATTTACACTCTGCCACTGTTACTGCTCCTGTCACTGCCGGTATTATTTCCCTAAATACTTCTGCAGCAATAACGACGCGAGTGGGTGTTCACACTCAGCCTTCATACTTCTTTATTGATCAACTCGCAACAATGACTGACGTCGAGTTTGTTGGTGTAACAGCATTATGTCTGCTCAGTATAAGTAGCTACTACGTGCAATTTATGGTTTTTATCACGAGGATCCCATATTACTCGCTCAAATTCATAAAGTTCTAAAAATTTAATTGTTTTATCATTACTAAATATCCTTGAAACATAGGACAGATTAATAAACGAATTGCTGTTTTTCAACATAGCGCGTTCTTTCTCAGTTGAACTTCGGCGGCAAGTGAGCGAGAATGTAAACATTCGCTCCCACTAACGCTGGCCGTCCTTTAACTTCCGCGCGAAAACCCGACAGTTCCCTTCTCACTTCCTTACCTAACAAGGCTGAGTGAAATGTCCCATTTCACTCCGCCTTGTTATAGCGCGTGTATGTAAATAGGATTTTCGTGCAGAAGTCAAAGGACGGGCAGCGCGAGCGGGTGTGAGTGTTTACATTCTCGCTCACTTGCCGCCGTGCTTTTTTATTAATATTATTCAAATATTTATGCACATAAATAATTTGTAGCAGTACTTACGTCGTTCTATTGCGATGAATTTCCCCCATCCACCACCTTCTTTGACGACGGCGTCTTTTATTTTTTAATGCACTTAAATAGTTACTTATAACTGAGCAGACATAATGCTGTCACACCAACAACCTCGACGTCAGACATTTTTGCGATATTTATTTATTTTGAATAAAGAAGTATGAAGGCTGAGTGTAAACACCTACTCTCGTCGTAATTGCCGCAGAAGTATATTTAGGGCAATATTTACGGCAGCGGCAGTGGCTGAGTGTAAATGTGGCATTACAACTCAATATTACTTCTCTTGAGGGCGGGGCCTGGTGATTCCCATAGCACAAGGTAACCTAGTTTAGGCATCGGTCTCCCACCTAGATCTTCCTGTATACATATATTAATCTATTTATAGCTGTTATTTAGTTTTATAAATTCATTGTTACTTGGTTTATTGTAATTTACTGATCATATTATGTGGGAGATATTATATACCAATTTTTTTATAACATTGGGTGACAAAAGAGCACACAGTCCACCTAATGGTAAGTGGATGCTGTGGCCCATAGACATCCACATTTATACTCCAATAAGAATCAAAATGCAAATGCCTTGTCACCCGTGAGGACTAAGATGGAATGCCTCTATTCCAGTAAAAAGGGTCTCCGGTTCTCTACACTCACCATACGAAATACAGCAGTATTACGCTGCTATTTTACGCTAGTATTCTGTGAGAGCGTGGTCCTGCCCCGGTTGAGCCGACCCATTCGACACAACTAATATTGTTTTTTTTTTGATTAATTTTTTCTGTTTGCTTTAGACATAAACGGCATGATAGAGCAAGAAGCAGAATTAATTGACAAAATTAAAAAGCGTATTGCCGGTGACCTGACGACACTGCAACAAAGCGAAAAGACTTTAGAGCTGGGCCAAGAGAACTTGAAGTTTTGGGCTGACAACGAACTGAAGAAATATATCTCCAATAATAGGACTGTCGATGGAAAAACTTATAAAGACTACGAGGCGTTTTACTTGGAATGTCTTAGATTGAATGTGTGACAGTTATTTTGTCTGCATCTTTCCAATATTTCCATTTCTTATATTTATTTACTCTCTAAAGAATTTATACATTAATTTATAGAATCAAAGCGACAAATGAACTTATATTCCACCTAGTGTTGGTCACCTCTGAAGACCAAGATAGAAAGCCTCTCAGGCTGTCATTATGCTGGTTTTCATACCCTTCAGACCGAAAGGCCAGCAGTGCGTGCACTGCTATTTAGCGACAGTAATAAATATATATATATATATATATAAAGGTGGACCAGTAATCTAAGTTATTAGGTCCTAACACCTAGTACAAATACAAAGTTGAGATAGACACTTGTTTACAACAAGAAATATTAAAGAATAATTCTGGGTACGTCACAAATCTGGAAGTGCGTGTAGATGTTCCATTGTACCCAAAAATCGATGCATTGAACATATATGTGATCCAAAAGTTGCTGTGTTTGATTCATCCTCAGTTTTCAATCGAATTATCAAATTCAACTTGAGATATATTTTTTGTAGTAAAATTAAACAAAATGTGTTCTAATCTATAAAATACATGTAAAATAAATGATTGTAGAACTAAATGTGTTTTATTTTTTTAACTTCCCGCTAAGAAAATTGAAAATTTTCAAAAATAGGGAAGTTTTGGTTTCACCCCGATTTTCAAAATCGAGTTTTCATCAGATCACGACTTTTGAAATCCCTGGAAGCGATTCCGACTAATTTCACGTGGACGTCCGTACGGATGTATGTATGTGCGTGCGTGCGTGCGTGGGTGCTTGTGTGTGGTGTGTGTGTGTGTGTGTGTGTGTGCGTGCGTGCGTGCGTGCGTGCGTGCGTGCGTGCGTGCGTGCGTGCGTGGTGCGTGCGTGCGTGCGTGCGTGCGTGCGTGCGTGCGTGCGTGAGTGAGTGAGTGAGTGTGTGTGATTGAGTGTCTGTGTGTGTGTGTGCGTATGTGCGTGTGTGCGTGTGCGCGTGTGCGCGCGCGCGCGTGTGTGTGTGTGTCAACCTTTCATAACTTTTGAACGTCTTGATCGATTGGGATGCCGTTTGGGGCGTTCTAAAGATATCAATGTGGAATAGATTTGGTGATAATATGAACTGATTCGGACGAGTAGGTTTTGAGTAATCTCGTAGGTTTTTTTTGGAATAACTTTTAAACGGCTTTACCGAGCGATTTCAAAACTAATCAGTTCTTAAACTCAAAAAATGACGTCAAATGTCGTTTGTCAAATAAAATTCGGTACATTCGGAGGAGTTCATCGGGAGATATTGAAAGAGAAAGAATTTGAAAATACTTTTTTTAACATAACTTCGATCTTTTTTTAACATAATTTTTTAACATAATATCGCAACATAATTTGGTGAAATTTGGAGCGCTTTGCATTTGAAATTAACGGGAAGTTTCAGGGTCAACCAATTTTTTTATTTCGTACGACGGGCTTTCAAAAAAAGTTAAAATGCTTTTACAAAAGTAAATAGCTGAAATAGTAAGGTGCCTGCGGGTAATAAGGCCTAAGTAACAAAAATCGTATTTATAATCGCCCTCGCTTATGGAGATAATAACACATCCTATTGCACGATAATGTCTACAAGTTTGCAGAGACGCGCTACTCCGTGACCCGTGTCCTGCCACCAGAGATGTATTATCTATCATAGGATGCGACCGCACCGCACCAATAATTAAATCAGTCTAAATAATCGTAGGTATGTTTTGTAATATTACACTAGCTGTAAAATCTTAATCTTTATCTATGTGAATAAATGCTTGTTAATCTTGAAGATTTGAAAAACGTATCGTGGTCTTTTTTTAAATACTTGGTCGGCGGTTATTCATCATCATCATTCATATTTAATAATGCGCGGTAATCCGCTCTTCACAAGTCCACTGCTGAACATAGGCCTCACCGAAGAAACGCCACATAGCACGGTCCTGAGCCACCTGCATCCATCGACTTCCTGCATGTCTTACCAGGTGATCAAGCAATGTAGTGGGGGTTCGCCCCACACTTCGCCTACCGGTACGAGGCAGCCACTCGTGAACCTTTTTTCTCCATAGGTTGTCGATTCTTGGAGCTATATGGCCGACCCACTGCCAATTCAGCTTACTAATACGTTGGGCTATATCGGTCACTGGTTCTACTACGGATATCCTCATTTCTAAGTCTATCACGCAGAGTAACCCTGAGCATAGCCCTCTCCATAGCTCGCTAAGCAACCTTGAGCGTCCTCATACGGCCAGCAGTGAAGGACCACGTCTCAGTTCCATAGGTCAACACTGTTAACACGCACTGGTTGTACAGTCTTGTTTTCAGTATTTATGGCTGACGAGAAGATGTGTCGTAATTTTCCGAACGCTACCAGACCTCCGTCACTTGCTCTAGGCCACGAGTTATATGCCTACCGCTCTGTGTATCGTCCACGAAACAACCGCCGCCGCCCGCCCGCCTAAGCACGGTGCAAGCGCCGCGCACGTTTCCCGAGCTTACTTGTCGAAATGCCAAAACCATATGTTATTATTGTGCAGTGGATGGGTGTAAAAGTCAAAAAAAAAAACAAATGAAAAATTGTCTTTTTTGCATTGACTCATGTATCAGAGTATTTATTACATAAATGTAGAAAAAAAAACATAACTTCTATGCGTTGTTACAGGAAAACCCTAATGTTGACGAAACCCCTATACTAATTGGTCTTTAAGCAAAAAAAAAATCAAGTTACGTGTCAAACTAAGCTGTAGAGTATTATCGCTGCAGCAGCAATACTTAGATACGCTATCACACATACATGTGATCTATATTGAAAAAATTATTCTATTCTATTCTAATTAATTATTCTATTCTAATTAATTTAATAAAATAAAATACAATATTAATAAATTATTTAACCCTAATGTTGTATACTAATTTCAAAGCTTAAAATAAAGATTCATCTTTTTATGGTAGCCTAAAAGTCCCAACAGAACCGTTTAATAATTATATTAAAGAATTAGAAAGAGCATTCTTAAATAATTTTGACAACGTCATAATGAATCGGCCTGGCAGCACCGTGTTGCAAATTTTATAAACCATTGATTTTCCTCTACTTTGCTCCTGTTTTCTTCATGATTATTTATTAAAATTATTTACGAGATTTAGGAAACTTCAACGATAAAATTTAATAACCGGGAATTCAGAGAAGGAAAAAAATTTATAAATCATTTTATAAAACTCAAACATATTTGATTGACAAATAAAAATATTGTTATTATGTATGTATTACGCAACATTCGCTTTATTACAATAATCATCGTAGATACAGCCCTAGCGCATCGTCCGATGACGCGCTTGCACGTGAGTCGCACGGCGGGCAACACAATCTCGACTCTTCGTTCGCGTATTTATGGTACATTTTCTTCTCGCTACGAGCAGCAGATATTATTATTAAGATTTTGTAGGCTATTATAGCGTAGGTAGGTATTTTCGCTATTGTATGGGAGTGATGTATCTGTTGGTAAACTATTTATTAATCTGTGACGCTACCCAACAGAGTTGAATCCGTCGATTGACCTCTCGGTCGAAGTTGAACTTACCGGACTGAACTGACCGAATTGAACTTAGTCGGACTATTTGTCCTAGGTAAACATACTCTTCAACAACTTCGAGCTTCCAACAACTACCGGCATAGGTGTGACATGGAATTTTATTTCGTCCAGGTTCATCTTAAGAACTATCCGTTGGAAGGCACTATTGAGGTCATTGAGAATAGTGCTTAGGTCCTCCAGAGATTCTACCACAAGGATTATATCGTTGGCAAATCAATGGTGAGTGATGAACTCGCCATAGATGTTGAAACCTTTCCAGTCCAGCAGCTTGAAAACTTCTTCCAATGCAGCGGTGAGGAGTTTTGGGGATATATCCCCGTTATAACGTCATCCTGGTTCTGTACTCGGATAGCCATCGTAGCCCTACTGTAGGAACATTTCGGCACTTCGATATACTAACAGTCAACTTGGTACCGCTGAAGGGACTGTTCACCGTTCAAATTTCGACGGAATCGAAGGCTTTCTCATAGTCCACATACAAAGTGGTGGGTTGTCTTCGGTGTTCTGTAGCATTTGCCGAAAGATATGTATATAGTCTTCGGTACTAAAGCCTTTTCGGAAACTGGCTTGTTCTGTGTGTGATGTGAGTGAAGTCAGTCTGTAGTTCTTCAAGAGAGCGTTGTCACCTTTCTTAAAAATCAAGACCACCGCACTTCTGCTCCACGCCTCCGGAGTAGTGCCACCATGGAGGACGGAATTAAAGAGCATCTGAAGTACTTCAAATACCGGTTTTCTACCCGCCTTCAGAAGCTTCGCTGTGATTCCATCCTAGCCCGTGGACTTGCCGTTTTTAAGGTGCTGGAAAGCTATTCTAATCTCGCTCAGACACGTCCGGGGTATCATCGCAATAGTGTCCTACAATATTCCGGCGGTTAACAAGGCGGAATAGTGTACGACAATATTCCGGTGGGAATAGTGTCCGACAATATTCCGGTGGTTAATAAGGCCTACTAAATTTCACCATAAGCCATATTATACTTTTTTACAAATGCATAAAAATCGTACGCTTTTATTATTTAAGTAATGTCGTAGTCAGAAAACGACCTGGTTTCAGCTGGCCAAACAGTGTAAAGACAAAGTGTGTCGAGAAGAAAAAAAAGTTTTGAGTAGATCTCAAAACGTAATAACGCTGGCTAAGTTCAACATATAGTTAACGAACAGCCTGGTGTGAATCAATTTGCATGGTACGGTTTAGCGTCCTTCACTAGGACTAGCCATTGCGATTTCTATTGTCATACAGAATAAGTCCCTACACTTTCATCACAAGTGACAATATGTTTCAGAATACATTTATGTGCTGATTTAACATTGAACATTAAAAATATTTTGATTAAATATTTATTTAAGCTATTTTATTTTATGGAATTAAAAAACACCCACAATCTTGATTTCATAATTGATAGTTAAAATTTTTGCAGTGTTAATA